TTTTTTTTTTATTTTTAAAACTCATTTATATATTATACAAGAATTACATCCACGGCGCCCATTTATAATTGTAACGAATAGTATTTGAATATAAGCATTTAATCGGGTAAAACCCGGGCGTTGCCCGGGTCATTCGTATATAATAATTGTATAAACGAATGCAAGACAAAATCACCGCGAATGTTTATTTTTTTTAAGGCAATTTCTTTTTAAGGCAATTATCGTTATTTATCGTTAATTTTTGTTTAGATTTTATTGAAAAAAAAACGAAATAGTGCCTTTAAAAAATGAACTTTGTTACTATGCAGTTTTCTATTTAGTCAATATACCTAAGTTCATGTTGCAAATGTAATTATCTCTATCGATTTAGTAGGTGAAATGAAAAAAAAAATCGACATGATGAAATCTTTATGAAAATTCACATTTTTATTTTTATATTTTCAAGACACACACAGTTTGGGGCGGGACGTTTCACAAGAGAGACATCCACGGCGCCAATTTATAATTGTAACGAATAGTATTTTAATTAAAACATTTTAAAAACACACAGTTTGAAACGGGACGTTTCACAAGAGTGACATCCATGGCGCCAATTTATAATTGTAATGAATAGTATTTGAATTAAAACGTTTTTAAAATATATACGCACTCGGGTAAAACCCGGGCGTTGCCCGGGCCATTCGTCTAGTCTACTTATATATTTGCCTTATTCTGTCTGTTTGTCTGTTTGTTTGTCTGAAGCTCACGGATGGGATTTTTCATAACCATCGGTGGTTCAGTGGTAGAATGCTCGCCTGCCACGCGGGCGGCCCGGGTTCGATTCCCGGCCGATGCATTTTTTTTTTTTTACAATTTTTAAAACTCATTTATATATTACTAGACGAATGGCCCAGGCAACGCCCGGGTTTTACCCGAGTGCGTATATATTTTAAAAACGTTTTAATTCAAATACTATTCCTTACAATTATAAATTGGCGCCATGGATGTCACTCTTGTGAAACGTCGCGTTCCAAACTGTGTGTTTTTAAAACGTTTTAATTAAAATACTATTCGTTACAATTATAAATTGGCGCCATGGATGTCATTCTTGTATAATATATAAATGAGTTTTAAAAATTGTAAAAAAAAAAAAAAATGCATTGGCCGGGAATCGAACCCGGGCCGCCCGCGTGGCAGGCGAGCATTCTACCACTGAACCACCGATGGTTATGAAAAATCCCATCCGTGAGCTTCAGACAAACAAACAGACAAACAGACAGAATAAGGCAAATATATAAGTAGATACAAGAATGATATCCACGGCGCCAATTTATAATTGTAACGAATAGTATTTGAATAGAAGCATTTAATCGGGTAAAACCCGGGCGTTGCGCGCGCGCGCCTGGGTCATTCATATATAATAATTGTATAAACAAATGCAAGACAAAATCACCGCGAATGTTTCTTTTTTTAAGGCAATTTCTTTTTAAGGCAATTATCGTTAATTTTTGTTTCGATTTTATTGAAAAAAAAACGATATGGTGCCTTTAAAAAATGATCTTTATTACTATGCAGTTTTCTATTTAGTCAATATACCTAAGTTCATGTTGCAAATGTAATTATCTCTATCGATTTAGTAGGTGAAATGCAAAAAAAAAAAATCGACATGATGAAATCTTTATGAAAATTCACATTTTTATTTTTATATTTTCAAGACACACACAGTTTGGGGCGGGACGTTTCACAAGAGAGACATCCACGGCGCCAATTTATAATTGTAACGAATAGTATTTTAATTAAAACATTTTAAAAACACACAGTTTGGAACGGGACGTTTCACAAGAGTGACATCCATGGCGCCAATTTATAATTGTAACGAATAGTATTTGAATTAAAACATTTTTAAAATATATACGCACTCGGGTAAAACCCGGGCGTTGCCCGGGCCATTCGTCTAGTCCACTTATATATTTGCCTTATTCTGTCTGTTTGTTTGTCTGAAGCTCACGGATGGGATTTTTCATAACCATCGGTGGTTCAGTGGTAGAATGCTCGCTTGCCACGCGGGCGGCCCGGGTTCGATTCCCAGCCAATGCATTTTTTTTTTTACAATTTTTAAAACCTATTTATATATTACTAGACGAATGGCCCAGGCAACGCCCGGGTTTTACCCGAGTGCGTATATATTTTAAAAACGTTTTAATTCAAATACTATTCCTTACAATTATAAATTGGCGCCATGGATGTCACTCTTGTGAAACGTCGCGTTCCAAACTGTGTTTTTAAAACGTTTTAATTAAAATACTATTCGTTACAATTATAAATAGGCGCCGTGGATGTCTCTCTTGTGAAACGTCCCGCCCCAAACTGTGTGTGTCTTGAAAATATAAAAATAAAAATGTGAATTTTCATAAAGATTATATCATGTCGATTTTTTTTTTTGCATTTCACCTACTAAATCGATAGAGATAATTACATTTGCAACATGAACTTAGGTTTATTGACTAAATAGAAAACTGCATAGTAATAAAGATCATTTTTTAAAGGCACCATATCGTTTTTTTTTTCAATACAATCGAAACAAAAATTAACGATAAATAACGATAATTGCCCTAAAAAGAAATTGCCTTAAAAAAAAGAAACATTCGCGGTGATTTTGTCTTGCATTCGTTTATACAATTATTATATACGAATGACCCGGGCGCGCGCGCGCAACGCCCGGGTTTTTCCCGATTAAATGCTTTTGTTCAAATACTATTCGTTACAATTATAAATTGGCGCCGTGGATGTCATTCTTGTATAATATATAAATGAGTTTTAAAAATTGTAAAAAAAAAAAAAATGCATTGGCCGGGAATCGAACCCGGGCCGCCCGCGTGGCAGGCGAGCATTCTACCACTGAACCACCGATGGTTATGAAAAATCCCATCCGTGAGCTTCAGACAAACAAACAGACAAACAGACAGAATAAGGCAAATATATAAGTAGATACAAGAATGACATCCACGGCGCCAATTTATAATTGTAACGAATAGTATTTGAATAAAAGCATTTAATCGGGTAAAACCCGGGCGTTGCGCGCGCGCGCCCGGGTCATTCATATATAATAATTGTATAAACAAATGCAAGACAAAATCACCGCGAATGTTTCTTTTTTTTAAGGCAATTTCTTTTTAAGGCAATTATCGTTATTTATCGTTAATTTTTGTTTCGATTTTATTGAAAAAAAAACGATATGGTGCCTTTAAAAAATGATCTTTATTACTATGCAGTTTTCTATTTAGTCAATAAACCTAAGTTCATGTTGCAAATGTAATTATCTCTATCGATTTAGTAGGTGAAATGCAAAAAAAAAATCGACATGATTAAATCTTTATGAAAATTCACATTTTTATTTTTATATTTTCAAGACACACAGTTTGGGGCGGGACGTTTCACAAGAGAGACATCCACGGCGCCAATTTATAATTGTAACGAATAGTATTTTAATTAAAACATTTTAAAAACACACAGTTTGGAACGGGACGTTTCACAAGAGTGACATCCATGGCGCCAATTTATAATTGTAACAAATAGTATTTGAATTAAAACGTTTTTAAAATATATACGCACTCGGGTAAAACCCGGGCGTTGCCCGGGCCATTCGTCTAGTCTACTTATATATTTGCCTTATTCTGTCTGTTTGTTTGTCTGAAGCTCACGGATGGGAATTTTCATACCCATCGGTGGTTCAGTGGTAGAATGCTCGCCTGCCACGCGGGCGGCCCGGGTTCGATTCCCGGCCGATGCATTTTTTTTTTTTTTTTTTTACAATTTTTAAAACTCATTTATATATTATACAAGAATGACATCCAGGGCGCCAATTTATAATTGTAACGAATAGTATTTGAATAAAAGCATTTAATCGGGTAAAACCCGGGCGTTGCCCGGGTCATTCGTATATAATAATTGTATAAACGAATGCAAGACAAAATCACCGCGAATGTTTCTTTTTTTTTAAGGCAATTTCTTTTTAAGGCAATTATCGTTATTTATCGTTAATTTTTGTTTCGATTTTATTGAAAAAAAAAACGATATGGTGCCTTTAAAAAATGATCTTTATTACTATGCAGTTTTCTATTTCTCTATATATTTAAAAGTCAATTTCTGTCTGTCTGTCTGTTTCGCGATAAACTCAAAAACTACTGAACCAATTGGTACCAAATTTTGCATGTCGCTTTTTATAAACCTGAGGAAAATTTTCGGCTGCATTTTGGTTAGTATTTTTGGCTATTTCTTTTTTTCATTTGAAGAACTTTTTTTACGCGGACTAATCCGGAATGGAATGAATACCTAAATATGGCCATTTTTTTAAAGCATCGGTGGTTCAGTGGTAGAATGCTCGCCTGCCACGCGGGCGGCCAGGGTTCGATTCCCGGCCGATGCCTTTTTATTTACAATCTTTAAAACTCATTTATATTATATCTTCTTCTATATATATAAAAACTAGGGGATGTGTACCCGGCTTCGCCCGGGTTTTATCCGAGTGAAAGTTTGCCTAACGAATATTATATATATTGAAGTATAATAAACAATGTTAAAGATTAGTTTTAATTATTAATCAAGATTGTGTGTGAATATGTGAGAAAGATGTAATATCGTTGTTGTTTTCTTGGCCGACTGTTTTACATATGGTGTTATCTTAAAATTGCTTCTTTTGAATATTTTTTTAGATTGAGAGGAATGAATTGCTGAATTTTTTTTTTGTATTTATATATAAATAAAATTAACTCTGTTGAATTTTTTTGTATTTTATCGATAACAGCAAAGTTATGTATTTTAAAGTTAGGAAAAATATTTTGATGTTAAGCAAAACCTGCTCCATCTCGTTTTACATAAATGTTGAAAATTTGGTCGAAATTGATGCATTGTAACGAAAGTTTTTAGCGAACACCACTTATGAAATTTCCATTTATATAGAAGATTGCATTTTATTAATATAGATATAATATAAATGAGTTTTAAAAATTGTAAAAAAAAAATGCATCGGCCGGGAATCGAACCCTGGCCGCCCGCGTGGCAGGCGAGTATTCTACCACTGAACCACCGATGCTTTAAAAAAATCAAATTCATTTATCGTCGCGACCAGTGCTGCGCCCTAGCGTTAAAAGACTGGAACTAACGCTTTTTGGTTTTTTATTTTTTAAAAAAAGCACATTAACTTTTTTAGTTTTTTGAATAGCCTATATGTTAAACGAAATCTTCAGCTACCTACATGCGAAATTCCATAATGATTGAGTCAGTAGATTTTGCGTGATGCGATAACAAACATCGATTTCGCATTTCATTTATATATATATATATAATATATATATATATATATATAATACTAGCGGATGTGTACCCGGCTTCGCCCGGGTTTTATCCGAGTGAAAGTTTGCCTAACGAATATTATATATTATGAAGTATAATAAACAATGCTAAAGATTAGTTTTAATTATTAATCAAGATTGTGTGTGAATATGTGAGAAAGATGTAGTATCGTTGTTGTTTTCTTGGCCGACTGTTTTACATATGGTGTTATCTTAAAATTCCTTGTTTTGAATATTTTTTTAGATTGAGTTGAATGAATTGCTGAATTTTTTTTGTATTTATATATAAATAAAATTAACTCTGTTGAATTTTTTTGTATTTTATCGATAACAGCAAAGTTATGTATTTTAAAGTTAGGAAAAATATTTTGATGTTAAGCAAAACCTGCTCCATCTCGTTTTACATAAATGTTGAAAATTTGGTCGAAATTAATGCATTGTAACGAAAGTTTTTAGCGAACACCACTTATGAAATTTCCATTTATATAGAAGATATAATATAAATGAGTTTTAAAAATTGTTAAAAAAAAAATGCATCGGCCGGGAATCGAACCCTGGCCGCCCGCGTGGCAGGCGAGCATTCTACCACTGAACCACCGATGCTTTAAAAAAATCAAATTCATTTATCGTCGCGACCAGTGCTGCGCCCTGGCGGTAAAAGACTGGAACTAACGCTTTTTGGTTTTTTATTTAAAAAAAAAAGCACATTAACTTTTTTAGTTTTTTGAATAGACTATATGTTAAACGAAATCTTCAGCTACCTACATGCGAAATTCCATAATGATTGAGTCAGTAGATTTTGCGTGATGCGATAACAAACATCGATTTCGCATTTCATTTTTATATATATATAATATATAAAGGATAAGGAAGGATGAATGTTTGTATGTTTGTTTGTTGGTTTGTATGTCCGGTATACAAATTCGCAGTAGTTCACTAATTCAAACCAAAATTTCCATACATAGGTAAAAAAATACGGGGAAGACGATAGGCTATTTTAAAAAATATATAAATCAATTATTAAAACTATATATTATTAGTCAGAAAATGATGATGACGATATTGCTGTATCATGTAAGATTATCAGATACAAAATTATATCGGGAAAAATTCCAAAAAGCAGAGACCACGGGTGAAACCAGCTCATTATTTTGTACGCAGGAACAAAATTCTAACAGAAAAACATTCATTCGAGCAGAAAACAAAAGCCAGATCATCTTTCTATAAAAATATCGCTTCTCAGACACAAAGTTTGGAGCGGGACGTTTCACAAGAGTGACATCCACGCCGCCAATTTATAATTGTAACGAATAGTATTTAAATAAAAACATTTAATCGGGTAAAACCCGGGCGTTGCCCGGGTCATTCGGCTAGTAGTCAATATACCTAAGTTCATGTTGCAAATGTAATTATCTCTATAGATTTAGTAGGTGAAGTGCAAAAAAAAATCGACATGATGAAATCTTTATGAAAATTCACATTTTTATTTTTATATTTTCAAGACACACACAGTTTGGGACGGGACGTTTCACAAGAGAGACATCCACGGCTCCAATTTATAATTGTAATAATAGTATTTTAATTAAAACATTTTAAAAACACACAGTTTGGAACGGGACGTTTCACAAGAGTGACATCCATGGCGCCAATTTATAATTGTAACAAATTGTATTTGAATTAAAACGTTTTTAAAATATATACGCACTCGGGTAAAACCCGGGCGTTGCCCGGGCCATTCGTCTAGTGTAATATAAAAAGCCAACAATGAAGAATGAATGTAAGATAAAAATCCAACAATGAAGAGTGATTGTAAGATAAAAATCCAACAATGAAGAATGAATGTAAGATAAAAAGCCAACAATGAAGAGTGAATGTAATATAAAAAGCCAACAATGAAGAGTAAATATAATATAAAAAGCCAACAATGAAGAGTGAATGTAAGATAAAAAGCCAACAATGAAGAGTAAATGTAATATAAAAAGCCAACAGAGTGAATGTAAGATAAAAAGCCAACAATGAAGAGTGAATCTACTTATATATTTGCCTTATTCTGTCTGTTTGTCTGTTTGAAGCTCACGGATGGGGTTTTTCATAACCATCGGTGGTTCAGTGGTAGAATGCTCGCCTGCCACGCGGGCGGCACGGGTTCGATTCCCGGCCGATGCATTTTTTTTACAATTTTTAAAACTCATTTATATATTATACAAGAATGACATCCACGGCGCCAACTTATAATTGTAACGAATAGTATTTGAATAAAAGCATTTAATCGGGTAAAACCCGGGCGTTGCGCCCGGGTCATTCGTATATAATAATTGTATAAACGAATGCAAGACAAAATCACCGCGAATGTTTCTTTTTTTTAAGGCAATTTCTTTTTAAGGCAATTATCGTTATTTATCGTTAATTTTTGTTTCGATTTTATTGAAAAAAAAACGATATGGTGCCTTTAAAAATGATCTTTATTACTATGCAGTTTTCCATTTAGTCAATATACCTAAGTTCATGTTGCAAATGTAATTATCTCTATCGATTTAGTAGGTGAAATGAAAAAAAAATCGACATGATGAAATCTTTATGAAAATTCACATTTTTATTTTTATATTTTCAAGAGACACACAGTTTGGGGCGGGACGTTTCACAAGAGAGACATCCACGGCGCCAATTTATAATTGTAACGAATAGTATTTTAATTAAAACATTTTAAAAACACACAGTTTGGAACGGGACGTTTCACAAGAGTGACATCCATGGCGCCAATTTATAATTGTAACGAATAGTATTTGAATTAAAACGTTTTTAAAATATATACGCACTCGGGTAAAACCCGGGCGTTGCCCGGGCCATTCGTCTAGTCTACTTATATATTTGCCTTATTCTGTCTGTTTGTCTGTTTGTTTGTCTGAAGCTCACGGATGGGATTTTTCATAACCATCGGTGGTTCAGTGGTAGAATGCTCGCCTGCCACGCGGGCGGCCCGGGTTCGATTCCCGGCCGATGCATTTTTTTTTTTTTTTACAATTTTTAAAACTCATTTATATATTACTAGACGAATGGCCCAGGCAACGCCCGGGTTTTACCCGAGTGCGTATATATTTTAAAAACGTTTTAATTCAAATACCATTCCTTACAATTATAAATAGGCGCCATGGATGTCACTCTTGTGAAACGTCGCGTTCCAAACTGTGTGTTTTTATAACGTTTTAATTAAAATACTATTCGTTACAATTATAAATTGGCGCCGTGGATGTCTCTCTTGTGAAACGTCCCGCCCCAAACTGTGTGTGTCTTGAAAATATAAAAATAAAAATGTGAATTTTCATAAAGATTATATCATGTCGATTTTTTTTTTGCATTTCACCTACTAAATCGATAGAGATAATTACATTTGCAACATGAACTTAGGTATATTGACTAATTAGAAAACTGCATAGTAATAAAGATCATTTTTTAAAGGCACCATATCGTTTTTTTTTTCAATACAATCGAAACAAAAATTAACGATAATTGCCTTAAAAAGAAATTGCCTTAAAAAAAAGAAACATTCGCGGTGATTTTGTCTTGCATTCGTTTATACAATTATTATATACGAATGACCCGGGCGCGCGCGCGCAACGCCCGGGTTTTTCCCTATTAAATGCTTTTGTTCAAATACTATTCGTTACAATTATAAATTGGCGCCATGGATGTCATTCTTGTATAATATATAAATGAGTTTTAAAAATTGTAAAAAAAAAAAAAAAATGCATCGGCCGGGAATCGAACCCGGGCCGCCCGCGTGGCAGGCGAGCATTCTACCACTGAACCACCGATGGTTATGAAAAATTCCATCCGTGAGCTTCAGACAAACAAACAGACAGAATAAGGCAAATATATAAGTAGATACAAGAATGACATCCACGGCGCCAATTTATAATTGTAACGAATAGTATTTGAATAGAAGCATTTAATCGGGTAAAACCCGGGCGTTGCGCGCGCGCGCCTGGGTCATTCATATATAATAATTGTATAAACAAATGCAAGACAAAATCACCGCGAATGTTTCTTTTTTTAAGGCAATTTCTTTTTAAGGCAATTATCGTTATTTATCGTTAAATTTTGTTTCGATTTTATTGAAAAAAAAAACGATATGGTGCCTTTAAAAAATGATCTTTATTACTATGCAGTTTTCTATTTAGTCAATATACCTAAGTTCATGTTGCAAATGTAATTATCTCTATCGATTTAGTAGGTGAAATGCAAAAAAAAAAAATCGACATGATGAAATCTTTATGAAAATTCACATTTTTATTTTTATATTTTCAAGACACACACAGTTTGGGGCGGGACGTTTCACAAGAGAGACAACCACGGCGCCAATTTATAATTGTAACGAATAGTATTTTAATTAAAACATTTTAAAAACACACAGTTTGGAACGGGACGTTTCACAAGAGTGACATCCATGGCGCCAATTTATAATTGTAACGAATAGTATTTGAATTAAAACATTTTTAAAATATATACGCACTCGGGTAAAACCCGGGCGTTGCCCGGGCCATTCGTCTAGTCTACTTATATATTTGCCTTATTCTGTCTGTTTGTTTGTCTGAAGCTCACGGATGGGATTTTTCATAACCATCGGTGGTTCAGTGGTAGAATGCTCGCCTGCCACGCGGGCGGCCCGGGTTCGATTCCCGGCCAATGCATTTTTTTTTTACAATTTTTAAAACCTATTTATATATTACTAGACGAATGGCCC